ACACACATATATACACACACACACATATATATATATAAAATTCCCTTTACCGTACCCTCAAATTATCACCGAATTCTAATTCTTGATCAATAAATCTGACCCTTGTCTGATTCTATTATTAGAGAAAGTCGATGATAATTACAAGTAACAATAATAACAACAAGTAATAATAACAGTGTAAGAGACGTCGACTCGACATGTCACGACGCGACAAGCATCAATTAGATGAACTGAAAAATGAGAAGATTACTCCCTAATAACGTATTCACCGCATGTCCCGACGATCGCACGTCGCTATTTTCGACACTCTTGACATTTATTTCCGCGCGAGACTTACTTTCGATGAACAAAAATCGAGTAAAACGTGGAGCGATCGATGTGTCCATGACGTTATCCATGTGTTGCTCGACGCAAAAAGGTCGATTTCAAAGATAGCCACGCAATTGACGATTACGCTGGCGAGATGCGCGCCAAGACGTGAACGGCTCGACAAAGATGTACTCTTGCGGGTATCTCTCTCCCTCTCGTTAATAGACCGACACTATCATCCGAGATTCGGCATCGCGTATATCTCTGGCGTTATTTCATCTCTCTTTTCCTCTGTAATCATCATCGCGTTTCTAACTCCCGATCAATAAATCTGACAGTTGTCCGATTCTATTACTACTTGAGTGAGTCGACGGTAATGATGAGAGAGTGATAGACATCGACATCGGTACTCTCGAAAATCGGGGGAAGGATTCGCTACTGACGTACTTACGATACCTCCTGACGATCGCATATCGTTATTTCGGCACTCCCGATATGTATTTCTGCACCAAACTGACTTTTAACGGACAAAAAAGACGTGAAATGCGGAGCGATGTCGATCGATGTGTTCATGGCGATTGCTTAGCGTAGAAAGGTCGAAGATGGCGCAATCGTCGTTGTCGCGCGCAATGACAACGAGCAATAACGATGACCTCTACGCACTTAGAATGCGATTCACTAGACGCTGCAAATGCTTCAAAACATTTGTAGCGTTTAGTGGATCGCACTTTTAGTCCCGCGGATATATTCACGGATTTCGTTCGATGCATCGATCTATTTAATAGATCGATAGTCAGTGAACATTTTCAACCAGCCACCTACGTTTCTAACTATGCGTGTTTCATGACTGTTGATTAATCTAGAAAGCGGGAACGTGTTTCTTAGATTAATTAAATGCATAGCTAGATATAAATGCGACTGGCTAAAAATTGTTAGTAACTATCGATTTATCAATAGCGAAGCATTCGTGACCTGAAAGATAACGTGTAGTACCAAGTTTTCGATTCGAATGCATTGTGTCTAAAGTATATATAGATTATAACCCTTATAGAAATATCATACTAAGAATCATTGATAATTATTTATTTTCAGTATTAAAAATACTGGATAATAAGTAATTATCAATGATTCTTAGTATGATATTTCTATAAGGGAATTCTGAATTGAAAGATTGAAAACTTGTATATATATTTTTTTTTCTTTTTTTCTTTAAATATACTCGAGTCGAAAGTCCGCTTTTATATCAATTCTATAAATTTTCTTGAACGCGCGTGAAAAGTCAATGGAAAACCTTACAATGTAATATTATACAATCTATGAATAGTTATTTATCGCGGTTTTCTATATATTGAAAAGCTTAAAAGATTTCATGAATTATTTAATATTCGATTGTCTCAATATTCTATCTGCGTTTATTCTTTACTTTTCTTTATCTCACTTTTTCTTATAATCTTTATTTCTTTATTAATGTTGAGAAAGAGACGAGAAAGAGACGAGAAAGGTACTGGTAAAACTTGGAGATGTTTCCAAAAAGTATTTAGAAAGAAGTTATAAAAAAAATAGAATATTTTTGTGCACTTGTAGAGATTTTAACTCGAATTTCAGTATATAATTTCAGTATAGTAATATTAACATTATATATTTAAACAAAAGTGAAAAGAAGAAGTTAATAAATTCAAGATAAAGTTCGTGGTTCAAAGAATATTATTATACTGAAAAAATGATATTCTTGTTCTTAGAAAAATCCTCTAAAACAAGCACCAAGTATATAAAATATTTTAAATATAAGATTTATTCTTCTTGTTTTGAGAGAAAATTCTCTAAACATGGAAAAATTTTCCCTCAAAACAAAAGGAATAAATCTTATGTTTAGAATATTTTACACTTGGTACCTATTTTTTAGGATTTTTCTAAGAACAAAAATATCAATTTTAGAACCATATAACTGCATTTGAAAGATTCATTGAATTTTTTGTTTCGACTCTAGTATCTCCTTACTCTCAGTAAGTTCATTAAACATCTATGAAAATCAGTAATCTTCTTTGTAATCAATAATTTAACACACCTGGAAGTACACGATATATTGCAGGCTACGTCCCAAAATTCTGGCTTTACAATCCAGCACCCTGAGTCTCGGCTGTAGCTCCCCAGAGTAGCACTGACACCCACGTAGGTACGATTCGATCGAAATGTGTGTTAATTAACGCGATACCGACGAGAGTTATATTAAATATTTCAAGATCCAACGGGAATGATAATTAACGCGCCGTTATATATGCTCCGCGTTGCGGTATGTGTACGTTGCTCGTCGACTCGAAACGTAATAACTGGGAGAAAGAGAAGGTACGTGTCGCTGGAGACTACCAAAACAAACAACAAAAACGACAACATTTCTCCCGCCAATCGCTGCTCGCGGTTTGCGAAACAATGACGTATACATTCGGCGGCGGACAGATCATAACGTCAAACAAAATATTTCGGATTATCGAGATGGTTAAATATAGTAAGATTCTCGTGTGTCGTTTAATTTTCGATGGTCGTTATTTAATTTTATATTGATTAATTCTATCGGCTGTTGATAAAATATTTTATCAACCTCTCGTCGGAATTATTTAATGCGCTTTTTTTTCGACGTGAGTACTACGTGAGTGTTAAAACGTCACGACGGAACAAAATGCTGAATCAGGAAGACAGAACAGAAGACTCGGATTGCCGGGACATGAGCAACGATACATTATATGTTTCTATGTATGTAAAATCATTTATTACGCAAGAGATTTCTAATTTTAACGAACGTTTGACAAAGTTACGGAGAATAAAAAATACTCTAGTTGAAATTTAAAATCCAGCGTCTAATAATGCTTCTTAAACTACAAGTCTTTCTTTCTTAATCTGTCAAAATCTTAAGACAATTGAGTAATTTTGAACATCTGTTTTTTCCTAAAAATACTAAAAAAGAGTTCTTTCCACAAAGTGAGATTCTAACTCTTTTCAGATCTTTTAATATGGATGGTAATGAAAATTTCGACTCGAGTGTGCTCGCATCGCTCGGGAAATATAAGTGCAAGATGTGAAACACATTTCGTTCTCTAACCGCATCTAAATTTTATCGCGAAGCATAACCGGATATTTCATGTAACTCCAAAGCCGGCCCTCTTTGCGGCGATTCGTCACGGCGGTTGACAGACTAAATACCGCCCCCGACGAGTTTTTTCTACAAAGGACCCGGGTCCCTTCTGTCGCGAAGGAATACCGCATACTAGCAAAGGGGATGTATACAGGGGAAATATGTCCGCTACGTTCCGCATTATAAAGCACCCTTTGCGTACATACACGGCGAGTCTGACGGTGAGGGTGACGCCCGCGGGGGGTGATGTGCGGTAACAATATGTGTATGTATAACCAAGCGGTGGAGGAGTGGCGGAAGTATACATAAATATACATTTTTATGATGAATATACTCGGGAAAATATACATCACCCTGCGGAGAGGATTCCGAAGGTTAGCAGCGACGCTCAAAAGTGGAGGCTGTGAGTGGAAGCGGGTGGGATAGTTCAAGGTGTGTAGAGGCGCGTCCAGGTGCATCGCGTCGCGCATCGGGGGAATCCGAATACAAAGGAGATGCATCGTGTCTGGATATCTCGCCTAGCCTAGCCTCGATTCCTCCTACGATTCTCGCGCTAATATCGATAACAGTCTTCGAGAGTGACGACAATTATTATTATCGATAGCGAGCGAGAGAATTTTGCGAAACGTATTGTGCGACATATTTCTAAGGAGCTCGCCATGAAAATGTCCACGCAAATCTGTTACAATTTTTCGGTAATGCCAATGGTGGCAGGATGACGTACGGTGGTCATCTCTTTGAATTATCGCGCGATGCTACGTTACGCTCGCAGCGTGTGTTGGAATCCTTTTAACCGAACATAAATAAGGCAGACCCGCCACGGTAATCCACGAAGCGGATTATCCAGTCGCCGGGATGGACGTAGCGGAAGGCGTCCTCGTTTACTCCGCGGTGTCGTCAAGGAGAGCCCTGGGATAATAGAGAGGTTCGCGATTTTAAATCCCCCTCTCTCTCTCTTCTCGGCGTACGTTTCGCAATTCCGGAGCACCGATTCCATCCACGGAGATCTCATCGCAGTCTTCCTTCGTCTCGCATTTAATCTCTCTTTCTCTCTCTCGTGCTCGCCTCCGACTGAATTCCATAAAACGTAGCGCCTCTTAAACCCTCTCGAGAGCACTTCCGGTCCGTTGTTCCATTCTTCTGCTACTCAGCCCGGCTCGATTACGAGAGACAGTCGCTTAGACAGGCACCCCAGCTCTTGCGGGCTAATCTGAGGAACAGAGTAAACGAGAGCCAATCAAAAGGTCTAAACGAGGGTAAGTGATGGAACGTGGTACTCGAGAATGCAATTGAATTTCTGGATCGCGTTTGACGTTGCGAGGTAATTGCGAGGTGTTGAACAGATGTTTCACGTAGACGACGTGACTGTCTTTCGCGCGAAAAAAAAAAACTATTCTTTATTTGTTAATTCCGCTTATGTAATATCAGACGACACTGACAAGCCATCGCATATAGAAGACATGCAAATTCTTACAACTGATCATATTCGCGCTTGACTGGTTGCGACCGGAAAATTCCTGTATCGTGTGTTAGCAGGTGTCAAGTGTTCTTACTTGAAAAAGCTTAGAGAGTTACAAAATTAATAAAAATTAATAGATCGAAGAGATGCCAAGACGTCTTGTTATATACGTTGGCATCAATATGCATCAAATTAAGTCATAATTTGCGCGGCAAAGGTCGTCGTGATCTTCAGCGCTCAAATCAGCCGATTACATGCGCAGGAGTTCAATTCCACCTTCTGTCGCGAGTATATACTCGCGGCGCACCAATGTAAGATATTGTGGTTTCCTACCACGTCGGTGTAATCGAGCGAGCAGATACGAGAGCGGGTCTTCCTCGTCTCTTCGAATTCGTGTGCGCGCGAACTGTTACCAGAAGGTCGCCTTTGAAGATCAGCTGGTAACTGACCGACCGAAACCTCAAGGTTTCCCTTCGTCGTTCAGCCACAGCTGAACTGCTGGGGAACTGCTGAAAGTAGGCGACAGGCTGCAGCTGTTCATGAGCAGATGTCGACAGTCTGTCCGTAATCCGGTTCGATCCGGTATACACCGCGCACAGAGCAGCGCGCATTCCCATTGACCAGGCCGTAGTTGGAACCGTGCACTCGCCAATAGTAATCGTACAACGTCGTTGGGAACACCGTGCGCTCCTTAACGTCAGTCTCGTCGCGGTGCTCCGTCTTCGCACGTCACGCAACGCAACGCAACGTCACGCCGCGTTATCGAAAAGAGACGATCAGCCGAAATTCAGCTGTCATCGTCGCATTGGACGCGATCGATCCGAGTTACGCGACTCTCGTTTTCCTACGAGAAGAGGCGCGACCTCGCTCAACCGATCGTCCAGCGCTCACGATTCCGTCGGGGTCCCATCGTCGTGGTTAAACGCGTTTAAAGACCGCGCGAAAGCTGCAACTCTTCTTCGGTTCACGTAGCCCGCAGCGGGACCCGCGCAGAACGCAGAGGTGAGTCCCGGACGAATTGTCCTCTCTCTCTCTTGGCCAGCCTACACCCATCTGCCCTTTGTCTGCCTTCGTCGCCATCCCTTCTCAGAAATCTCTCAACCACTTCGACCTATCGATCCAGCGGTCGGCCTGTCTGTCTATCTATCTGTCTGTCTGTCTGTCTGTCTGTCTCTCCGCGATACGTCCTCTGAACAAATGTTCGTGTGAGCGCGCTCCATGGGTATTATCGTGTTGGTAGGTCGCGGCGTGCACGCGCGCGAATCTTATCGTCTACGACGATGACGACGACGGCGACGGAAGTTCTCCGGCGGCGCACCGCGATCGGTGACGTAGGTGACGTAGGTTGAGTCATACGGCGTGTTGCGACCGAAGGTCGAACCTAGCGCGCTAGATCGATCGCAACATCACCGAGAGTAAACGAGCGATCTCGCGGTAGCGCGTCGTCGCCTCCTCAGCGGCCTGCGATCGGCTTCTCCGGCCGCGAGAACGGCTGGCCATCAGGAAACGGGGTTAGACCGGACGATCGATCGTTCCCGAGGCGAAGTAAGACGTCGTGGAATTCTAAAGGGTTGCTACACGTCGATGCCAGTCGTCGGTGCTCGATCACGAGCCACCAGGCACGCTCGCGCGCGCTGTCGCGACCCGTGACTTATAGCGGTCGATCCTCCACCTGTCTTCTCCCACTTTCCTCTCCCGCGCTTTTGGAAATTTAAGAACGCGATCACGCCTACGGTCGGGAAAGACGTCGGCTAAATGATGCATGGGGACGGGATCGTTTCCGCTCCTAAAGTTCCTGGGAACGTGACATCTGTGGCTCGAGGGCTTACATAACGCATACCGCCACGAATTAATCATTTTTTAATTAAACATGTTTGTTGGGTTTAACAATATTTCAAGACGTCGACCTTTAAATTTTTGTTTCGATCTGATAAATGTTTCGTAATGTTTCGCCTCGTAAGGTTTAGAAGGAATCAGTTTCTTCGTGTGGTTTTATCAAGGTGATACGCGTACGTTGTTCGGAACTTTCGCGTGTCTTCTAAAAAGTATACCGAGCAACAGCGAGCCACCTTACCCATCCCAATTCCCAATGTAACGACCGACAATTTCCTCAGCCGCTATCTGATCGCGGACGTAGCAGCCTGCAGCTGCTTCGGCGGCGGTCATATGACGCTCGAAGCGTGCTGGATCGATGCACGAGTTGGTGAGATGGAAAAAATAGTCACGAGATATGAGAGAAAGAGAGAGAGAGAGAGAAAAAAAAATAGACTGTCACGCGCGATAAGATTTCTTGCCGGATCAATCTTGTCTTTGCTTTCAAAGCTGTGCATTAAGCCCAGCTTTGACTTTAAAGTGACTCCATATTATCTACTCTGATGGAAAATATCGTGCTAAAATGGAGCGTAAAGTGGAACGTAGGAATTCTCTCTAAGAACGCGTGCACGTTGTGTGCAGCTTCGTCTTCGTGTACCTTGTCATACGTTGGAGCATAATAAATGCCGCGGAGACACGGCTCGGCAATTTGACGGTCCCCTCAATTACTCTTTACTAAATTAACGCGCGCTCTTCAAACGAACGAAGGATGTAGCTCGATGGGTGCGACGTGACAGTCTGAGAGACCCAAAAACGCAAAGAAACTTTGTGCCTGGTGATAAGTGCAATTTTTAAACAAACCTAAAAATATTGCTGACTAGGATTCAATGATCCTGCTGCAGTTTCACTGAAAATATTTCGATCCGTAAATAGCTGCGTAAACACGTTCCGCGTATGTAACATACATATTTTCAGATACGACGCACTATGAGCTTCTCTTATAAGCCACATACGTGGTATTAATAACGACGTCTTGCATAGCGAACGATCGACCGCGCGTAACCTCGATAATCGCAACCCCTATCAGTCGTGGATCGATGGGCCACTTGAAATCTGGCGATGACGAATCCGATACAGGGGAGAGTTGTGAAATCACAGCGGTCTTCTAAATTGCATCTTATCAATTTCTGTATTATCATTGAATATGAATGGCATCTGACGGTAGAAAAATGAAAAACAAATAAGAGAAATAAACAAGAAATTTTCAAAATATATCTTATTTTGTGTGTGCGCATATGTTGTAAACATAAAAAAAATCCGATAAGATTGATGAGATGCGATTTCGTTAGCTCTCCTCAATTTCCGTCTCGTCTACGACGTGACGCCGATTCGCAGAAATTCCCGATATCGTAGATCAGTCGTAGAGCACGACTTTTGTGACGTCGGGTCAGCCAACGTCGGGCGAAAAATTAGACGTCGAGAAACGGGGTTAACCCCGACGTTACACGCGAGTATCCACGCGAAAAATCAATACGCGACTCCCCTGGGGACGCCGCTTGCAACACGCGCGAGGAAGTCCATCGGCGAATTGGCGATCACCGCGTGTACCCCGACAGCGATATGCATATCGTATCTCGTCCGGAGAGGTCCTGGTCGGATCGATTCCCCGCCCGCCGGATGCGAGGCCGATGTTGTAAGCAAGCCGTGCGAGAGCTGATCCAGCCGCCCGAAGAGCGCGTCGATATTCATCGAATCCGCTCGCGGAATCCAAACTGAATTCACGTTCCGTTTTTGTGCGGCCTGACCCACGACTGATCGTGTGTACACGTCCACGGCGTATATACTTGAAAGTTTCGCAGTTCACCGAGAACACGAGTCTCTCGATGGCGTCGAAACTTTCCAGTATAAACCCAGCTCCTAAGCCGGTCATCGTTTCGGATCGGGCGGTTCACCGAACGCACGGCGTTATACACCGGCTATTAACCTGCATCGAGAGAGGCATACTTGACGCATGAATCAGTTGCTCATTATCAGAGTGATGTGAGCCGCATGGAAAAATGAAGAGAGTACGGCAAGTATGTTTTCTCTATTGATCGATGGATTGACCAAGTAACGTTGTTGATCGCGCGCGAAACCGTGCCGAGATGTGTTTACCGAATAAACTTCTTCTGCATGTATCCATCTGTTTCTCACACGAGTTTGCGTCACGTTCCGCGTCAGACACGGCTCGGAGGCAAGGAAGAGGGAAAAAGAGAGAGAGAGAGAGAGAGATAAAGTATGTGTGTGTGTGTGTGTGTGTGTGTGCGATCGAGAAATCTTCCATTCCGGAAGTTACTTCAATTTGTTTGATTTATACTTTATCAGTTGTGGTTACCGCACGCGCTTGATTTGCCTGTTAAAAATAGTTCTAACTAGAGGACAAAGACACTATATAGACACTGTTTCTTGTTTGCACGTTTTCTTGTTGATCGGCGTGTTTTTCACGAAGACGCATAACTAAACACCACACGATTGGCATGTCGCCATATGCATGATTCTTTCGTCGTGCGACGAAGCCGATGGATCTTGTGCATGTCGACGGATCATACCTTGACACGCATCTCAATTTATTCCTCACATTTTAGCGAGGACGATTCTACGAGGCATCGACGACGCTGACGACTCACGATCGAACTTCGCGCGTTGAAAGGCCGTCTAATTACGAGAGAGAGAAAAAAATGCGATAACCGCAAACGGAGGGCGAGGCCAGCGTGAGCCGGCTGCAATCGCCGATGCGATCGCTTCCTCGATTGCTTTTCACGTCGGAAATCGACCGTAACTGAAACGCGCGGGGATTGAACGGCCGTCGATGCCTCGAGTCGCGCTGCGACCGCTGTCACAAGAACCCCTTACCTTTGTGTTCTCTTTCTTTTGTTCCTTTGCCGTTCGTTTGCCTTGTTGACGTGCGATATTGGCATATCGGCTTCGGGCACGCCTATCATCATCAACGGCAACGGCAACACCTCAGCTCCGGGAGCCTTCGCGGCGAGTCTTCGCCAAGAGGGCATCCACCTGGGCGGTGGACACCGTCATCTGACACGAGCAGCACGATCGACGATCGACTAGGTCGTCCACAGACGAGCAGACGACGTCGTGGATCCAGACAGGGCGACGAAAGGTTACGCCATGCCGGCAGGTACTGGCGCTTCGTACAGGTCCTTAGGCGACCTGGGCGAAGACGTTTACAAAAGCACGACCATCGTCGACCAGACGCAGACCACCAGCCAGAGCGTCCTCGAGTCCGTGAAGAAGGCGTTTAGCTTCGCCTCGCCGAAGGTCGAAACCCGGAAGAAGGACCCGCTGATCGAGGACCGTCGCGAGAGCGTCTCGATCGTCTCCAGGTAATACCTGTTAAGCGACATTGTTCGAGATTAGGAGAGAAACCGATCGGCAGGTAGGGGCGTATATTGGCTACGATCGCGGGGTACTATCGTTCCTCGACCTCGAAGGTCTCTCACGGAAAAGCCGTCTCGAATAACGCACGGGGAAGATTCGAAGCGCTCCTGCGCTCCGTGCGCGACGAATACCGCGAAATTACGCGAGCCCGAAGACCAAGCGGATACAATCGATGACGGCACAGTTGAGACGGATTCGTTAAAGAGTTCGCGAGCATTTCGAGGTCGAAGACATCGTGGCATGATTATAGCGCTTCTGCTGTTGGCTATGGTGGCGGATAGGTCGCGAGAAATCGATCCGTCGACGCGGTTCTCGACACTTTCGTTGCATTCACGTGTGGTTTACGTCGGGCTAGATATTTTAGAGAAAGATATAAAAAAATAAAGATGTGAAAAATGCATAACGATTCTCCAGAGATGGATGAAATGTCTTGTCAAAATTCTCGCGGGGGCAGCCTGTTGCTGTGTAGTTCGAGAATACAGCAAGCCTATTGAGAATAGCCGAGTTTTCAGCAACGAATGTGTCGGATTCGCGGGAGATACTCCTCGAGCGGAAATAAGGGAGATATCACTACATCGATGTCGCTTGCAATTTACTCTCCTCATCCAACGTGACTAACATTCGCTTCGATGGTTCCCAAAGGGAGCGCGATGCATATCTGGCGGAGCTGACCCAAGTTTTCGGAAATTGACTCGGAAAGACTACGATATACAACTGGCCCATTGCACCAAAAGATTTTTCGCAATTTTGCGCGCACGGTACAAATTGCCAACGAGACGGGGTTCTCAATAGCCGTCTGTTATTAAATACGGTCCGTTTTCCCCGGGGAAATCTGTGATTACACAAGCGGTTTGTGCATCATAACACACGTTGCTAAAAGCAACGCGGAAAATTCGCAAGCGCATTTCCCCCGAAGCTCTCACTCGGGGACAGGCGCGGAGAGGCGCGCGGAAATCCTCGTTGAAACGGATAATCGGTTCAATGCGCAATGCTTATCGATTCAGGGAGAGACGGCGAATCTTTAAAGAGCAAGTATCGATTCCGCGGTGCGCTTCGTATGTCGAAGCGGTGCGAGCGAAAATTCGCGCTGCGCAAATGGGCTGACGTCGCGTCCGCGACTTGGTAGAGAGCAGTTTAATTTTAAGTACGAACGGACCTCAGGATCGGACGTTAAGGGCGCGGCTATCGATCAGCCCTAAACTGATTCAGAATCTAAGCGTACGGAAGGTAAGTCACGTTATATTTAGCACCCTGTAGAAGAAGTCAATCCTTCCCCTCACGCTTCGCAAGCCTCGCACGCTCGCACCGGACAGCACTGGCTTCATTCGCGTTTCTTTGTCCGCGTAGCTACAATCATCATCGCCGTCACCATCATCAAAGCCGCCGCTTGGCTCATCTTTATTATTATTAACACCCTCTTTGTTGCACGCACGCGATCGGCCGTCTTCCTTTGTCCTTGCAACGCTCGAGTTGTGACCGCGCGTGTCGCTTCGCGGCGCGCAACGGAAGTGCGTGCGTTGCGGAACCGGCTTCTCGACTCGAGGGACCGAAGCCGATGATTCTCGGTGATGAACAATCGAGGGGCCCCGACAACCGTCATATACGTGCCGATCGTCGGCAATCGGAGAAGCAAACGATACAGCAGTACATATCTGACGTGTGCTACGTTGTTGTAGCCAGCAGTAATAAAACGGTTGAGATCGCGGAAACTGCACGTCCCTTAATCGTTCCATAAACCAGGATTCGGCTGAAACACGAGGTGACATTTCTCGATCGTGAAAACGGCCATTAAGACTGAAACGACACACTCTGGCGGTCAGGGTTGAACCTTTAATTTCAACCCGGCTACCACTTTAGAAGGCTATTTATTCGAGTGCGCAGTATCCGTGTCATGAGGTTGTCCGAGGGCTTCTCGGTTTAATTGGCCGTGGTAATTTCACATTCAAGTGGGCCGTGTGCTTAAAATGCCGAATCGAGCGGTCGGTGGGACAAAGGAAAGCTGATCCTTAACGATCGTGGTAGAACGCGGGAATCTGAACGAATATTTACGTACGTACGTACGTATGTATGTATGTTTGTGTATATGTTTGTATGTATGTTGTATGTCTGTGCCACGTTGCTTCTTATTGTAGCCGATGGCTCTTCATCTTGTTGTCGATTGTTCGTGTGTTGTGACGGGGATAGAGGCGCGACGTGCCGCTAGGACCGGGCGTGTGTGATTATTCGCGGCGATTTTGTTCTAGGGAGAGAAACAGGATGCCGGCAGCAGCCACCGCTGAGGAATCTGCTTTGTTGGGGTAAGTTGTGACGTGAAAGAGAGAAAACAAGGGAGAGGACCGAGAGAAAGAGAGAGAGAGAAAGAGAGACTGCCGTGTAATCGGTACTGTTTTTCCCATTGCTCGGCCAGCATCTTTGATCGTAGTTTGCAATCCGTGCTGATGCATAGACGCGTAGTGGAAGTGCGATAGTTGATATTAACACGCCTACGCATCGAGAATGTGAGCCACCCCCCTTATATTAGCTCGTTTTATACATCCCTCTACTCTTGACCTGTCTCGTTCCTAGCTAGCCGCGCGCAAGATTCGACTCGTTTAACTAGCCGAATTGCAGGTAGGGCAAAACGAAGGATTCGCCGAATCATTGTTATGTTCTGGTCTCATTTGGAATGGTGAATGCTCTCGAAATGCACACGTATGCGCAACTCCGTCGTGACTAACAAGGATGAATTGCGTGATGGAGATCGATTCAATTGCCGTTCTGCTAAAACTCGTAGTATGAAAAACGCACGACGACGAGATACGCGACGATTAGTTGCATGGAGGGGAGGAGGTGCGATGTTGGTATTTTCAAACGACACGATGCATCTCCGTGTCTCTTCGTATCGTGTAACAGTAGCAAACGTGACAAATTTGCCAGCGTGCTCGTAGAGTTTTTCAACTGCCACCGGCAATTGGCATTGACCCCAATGTGCGCAGCGTCGAGTGACCGGTCCGTAACTCACAATTGCGTTATTAAAAGCGTTTTGCGCTTTTTAGTAGCGCAACTGCGTAACAATTCGCAGCGAAGGTCACCGACGACGGTGAGACAACGGCCAGGAACATGTACGATCGATTGAGATGCATTACGTTCGATCCTGAAAGCAGGAAAAGCGCACGTGCACTCATAGATTTTATATTGCGTCCGCGACCGCGCGCGTTACATAAAAGCGACGACTTAACGCGTTACTTTAAACCGACAAGAGGCAAAGCCACGGTGGCAAAGTGCACGCGCGGCTCCCGGCAACCGTATCGTCCTTCTATTATACGATATTGGTTTAAGAGCGCCACTTAATGTGACACCCAGCTGCCGCTCTGTTTAGAGCCGCGACCCATATTCCCGGCGAGGCTTAATTGTTTAAGACAGTTTAACGGAAGTTTCCTGAGACTTTTGGCATTTAAGTCGCTTAATCGAGCTACTTCATGATTCTTACGAACTCACACCTCCGTCGGTGCAGCTTTCTAATTTGAATGTAAATGCGTGGCTAAAATCGAGTTTCGACCTACGAGACTGTCGAGCTTTTTCCCTCCGAAGTTTACTTCGGAGCTAGCTCGAGTTTACTACAAGCGAGACGCGTCTGTTCCATCGTGAAAATTTCATGACAAATTCGTTTCATGAATCGACCTTAAAAAAAGAAAGAGGTTCTCCTCTTATATCCTCTCAATCTCTCCATGTAGGACATTTTGGATTTCAAGCTACTGAATAATATCGATCGCGTCTCAATTGCGAATCTGGCAGATCTAAATTGGCATAGCAGTAGACAGCAAACACGGAGTTCTTCGCGAATCTATCCTGGCGGTAAGAACGTAGTAGCATACAAAACAGTTAATGGCACGCTGGACGTCGGAGCCGCTTCCGTCGCATAATTGCTTCACGTAATTTAACGTAGGCGACGCGGAGTCGGCCGGCCGCGGAACTCGGCTGGTGAGACATTAAATTTGAGTCGCGGTGTCTAACGCGTTTCATAATCGCGAATTGCATTTCCACACGCGCCGACTCGCGTGCACTCGCGACGCGCAACGCTGGAGTGCCTCGACTCCCGTCCGTCTTCAAGAGATAAACGCAGTTGCTCGCTCGATGTTTGGACATAATCTTCAAGTTAACGTGATGACGCCACTGTCCACGGGAAATGATAAGAAATAAAAATATTGAGTTTAGAAATCGACTGTGCGACGAGAAATAAATACTGAAATAACACGCAGTTCGAACGTGGTTTTGCAGTAACAGCGAAAAGTAAAAAAGATCTTGCAATAATATCTAAGTACAAAAAATTTGCTAAAATAAATAAATGAATAGCAAACACTGCGATATCGCACATGTTTTGCATTTAATCAATTGTAGACGACAGAAGAAAAATTTCTATCTGAAATATTTGCGAAATTTAGTTAGAAAGTCTCTTTCTGTGGCGCCCACCCAGCTTAAAGCCAGTCACACTTCTTATGAAAGCGACTGTGTGGTGAACAGAACAGACTAGCGACAAGAAACAAACGAATGTACACATAATCTTCACACTCACACCTAAATTTGCTTGCAGATATTGCTAGAATGTTCTGCACATTCTATGTACCACAGACAACTTTCTAGATACAAAAAGCAACGACAAATTTTAACTGTGTCATTTAGAATTTTACCTGAACAAGCGAAATATTTTTTTTAGTGATAGAACGAAGCTGTCGCCCGTCGGCAGTACGCGTCGGTGTATTGAGCCCTTTAATTTTTAATTAAACAAGGTTTTTCAGCATATAACGTTCCGCGCAATAGCTCAGAGTTTAGGGGCTTTCTCTCCGAGGTTGACGACGTAATTCCGCTCGCAATTGTCATGCCACTTCTCGTCGCTGGTATCAGTCTTCGGTTCAAGACGCTCTACTTGTGACACGGACGAAAGGACGAGGTCTCCGCGCGCGCGGGTACCCGTGCCTCGGCTGCGGAGTAGTTAACGTCGAAATTAGAACTGATTAGGAACCATTAAGAGCGGAACACAGACGCCCCCTTGTTGTGAGACTGACGCGTTGTTTCGAAAGCGACGCTTCATGTCTCGTCTACTAATTTCGCTTTGTGCCCGGCGATTCCTCTGTGCATAACATCGAGTCGCTCGTAATAATCACTGATAAATGTCGCAATGTTGCTCGAACGTGTCACTAATGGAGAGCTGAGGAGCCAGTCCCGAGACAACATGCGTGTTTACCTCTCTCACGCGCTCGCTTTCGTGTACGCAACGAGCTGCAGTTATAAACAGACCCGATTTAGCACACTGAGCATTCTTCCGACTTGCGCAAATCTCGTTTTCGCGATTCACACGTTTTCGTCTCACGCAGGCGGCAGAAGACGAAACGTGCAAACTTAGACTTCGCGTTGATGACGACGCTCTTTTTGCGTCGCGGGGCGAAAGAGAACGGGTACACATACACACACATAAATAAACACACACACACACATATACGTGTATCGATTGAGGCGCAGCATGAGTCACCATAGCTGTAATTCTTTGTCAATCGAAAAGGAGCTTAACGGTTCTTGTTAATCGCCCGCGAACCCTCGACGGTTCTCTATCGGCCCTCTTGCTGGGAATTAGTCCCCGTTTATCTCGATTCAACCTACGTGCCGGTAAAGTTACGTAAGGCGATGATAAATTGCTCCGATAGGAGGGCGAAACGTAACGATTCAATGTGACGCGACCGTCGCGCGTACGTCAGTTTGCTCTACTTTCGCTGGAAATTCGCTCAACGTAACTTGGCGTTGCTCCAGTTCCACCACGATCGGATGGCACGACTTTGAGCAAGCTTTATATTCCGAGATGGAGGTAACGCGTCCGCGATCGATACGTTTGAGCGTGTAGTTATTATTTTCCGCTCGAGAGATCCCCGATACGAATTACTTTCAAGGTTTGGAGATGAGCATAGAAATTGGACAGCGACGTTTTTCGCATATACCCAGGAATGCACGCGATTCAGCCGGAGAATGATGACACGTGCGAAATGGTTCGAAGTCTGCGAATTCCATTGCGATTTACGCAGCGTTCTGCTATGAGATCGCGAATTACGTAAAGCAAAATTTTCAATTGAACGAGCTATTATTAGTCACAGCTGGCCCATCCTTTTGCCAGAAATATGAGCCCCGTTTAGCTGGAATAGTCGAGGCCTGAGCACAGTTCTGTTTACAACACGTTCTGCATCACGCTTGTTTGCGGTAGATAGTGATTTATTTACTTTCCTTCACGAAAGAGAGAGAGAGAGAGAGAGAGGGAGAGAGAGAGAGATCGGCAGTGGGATAAACGTAAGACGATCTTCATTGCGCGGCTTCGTTTTACAAGCGACAGTAGTGACCAGAAAAAGATTCGATCTGCGCACTTGGGTTAATCAATCGATAAAAAAGATATCGACGAGATATCGTGTATCCGGCACATGTCCGTACCACTTACACGTAAGCTGCGGTTGAACGGTGTTTCTTTAAAAAAAATCTCGATGACGTTATTTGCCGCTAATTTCCTGGAAATTCGCCGAAAATCGTGCCGCAGGTGGCAATTTATTTGTAAATTTGCGTCTCATTTATATATTGAAAAACTTGTTTCTCGCCTACGATCCAAAGTAATTCCGCGACTCTTAAAAATAGACCGTTTATGATTTTGCGCGTCACTTTGAAACGCAGTATACTCTGGCAATAAGTGTGCAGACACTGTTCGAACGTTCAAAGCAATACGGCATACGTGACTTTCGACGTGACGGGAAAATAAAGTCAAAGTAAAACAGTGCGCGTCGCGTTGTGCAGAATGAAGGAAGAGATGCAAAGAAGAGACGGATAAGTCTCGTAATCGGGAATTGTGGTTCGATAAAAAGGAAATAAATACAATTATGTATCGTTATTGCGAATCCTTATCTCTGTGACGCACTCTGGGATTTCTTATTCAATCCTGTTCTCTCGGGCGACCACATATTTGAGGCGACCGCAAATCCTTTGATCGAACCCGCATTTTATGCTCGCGATTACCTGGCGTTTAATTTAAGCCGGCGGCTTTCCGCGTTTCTCCAATTCGCGATATACGCGAACGCAAAAATCTAACTCGCGGAATATTGCGCCGCTCTTTTTCCATTCGGACGGACATTCTCAGCCGACCGGTTGAATATTCGCGGCGCGAGATATTCCTGAAAAGCCGAAAGTAGGATTTCAGGTTGATCCAGGATCAGCCAGTCCTTTGTCCTGCGAATTCTATCGCTGCAAGCGAGACAACTTTTCAGTTTGAGATATCCGCTTTTGTTTGCCCGGT